AGGTCACCAACTTTCTGCAGAGTCAATCGCTACAGACCTCCAAACTTCATGTGGCCTTCAGATTAGCTCAAGAACAGCATAGAGAGCTTCATGGAATGGGTTTCCATGGCTGAGCAGCTGCATCCAAGCCTTACATCACCAAGTGCAATGCAAAGCGTCGAATGCAGTGGTGTGAAGCGCCGCCACTAGAGCAGTGGAGACGTGTTCTCTGGAGTGACGAATCACGCTTCTCCATCTGGCAATCCAAGTCTGGGTTTGGCGGTTGCCAGGAGAACGGTACTTGTCTGACTGCATTGTGCCAAGTGTAAAGTTCGGTGGAGGGGGATTATGGTGTGGTTGTTTTTCAGGAGTTGGGCTCGACCCCTTAGTTCCAGTTTAAGGGACTCTTAATGTTTCAGCAGACCAAGGCCCCTTCCTGTTCCAACATGACTGCGCACCAGTGCATAAAGCAATGTCCATAAAGACATGGATGAGCGAGTTTGGTGTGGAAGAACTTGACTGGCCTGCACAGAGTCCTGACCTCAAACCGATAGAACACCTTTGGGGTGAATGAGAGCGGAGACTGCAAGCCAGGCCTTCTCGTCCAACATCAGTGTCTGACCTCACAAATACACTTCTGGAAGAATGGTCAAAAATTCCCATAAACACACTCCTAAACCTTGTGGAAAGCCTTCCCAGAACAGTTGAAGCTGTTATAGCTGCAAAGGGTGGGCTGACATCATATTAAACCCTATAGATTAAGCATGGGATCTCACTCAAGTTCATATGCGTGTGAAGGCAGACGAGCGAATACTTTTGGCAATATAGTCTATATTAAACAAGGGATAATCTGAGAAGAATATATCTGCATTTTAAAGTGACAGTGATATTGTCCATATCAGTGATATGATTTAATAAATAATACTAACAAAGTGACAGAGTGAAATTGTAATTGGGGAAGGGACCCACAGCTTTACAGCTTGTTCAGGAGCCTAATAGCCAGTGGGTAGAAACTGTTCTTTAGCTGAGTTGACTAAGCCTGGATACTGCGGTATCTCCTTCATGATGGCAGTACGGTGAACAGGTCATGAGCTGGGTGACTCTCTTTGATTTTCCATAGGCAGCAGGACTGATAGATGTTCTGTAAGGCTGGTAGTTTGTTGCCTATGATGGCGTCCTCACCACTCCCTTAAAGGCCTTACGGTCACAGGCAGTGCAGCTGCTCTCTATGGTGCATCTGTAGAAGCTGGTGAGGATCTGAGGAGGCAGACCAAACTTCCTGAGGCTACGCAGGAAGAAGAGATGCTGACAGGCAGATCTCACAATTGTGTTGATGTGGAGGGTCCAGGTGAGGTCATCCGTGAGTTGTACACCGAGGAACTTCACACTGCTAACTCTCTCCACTTCAGCTCCATTGATGTACAGTGGAGAGTGACCACAATCATCTCCTTTGTTTTGTTGATGTTGAGACAGAGATTGCTGTCATGGCACTACTCTGACAGAGCACTGACCTCATCTCTGTTTCATTTCCATCAGTGATGAAGCCTACATCCCTGCGGCCCCGGTGCTCAGAGTCAGTGTGGTAGAGAAGTTGTTCCCAGCTTTCACCACCTGGGGATCTGCTCGTCAGGAAGTCCAATATCCAGTTGCAGAGATGTGAGTTCAAACCCAAGTCTGTGAGCTTAGGGATGAGTATGGCCGCGATGATTTTGTTGAATGCCGAGCTGCAATCTATAAACAGCATTCTACAAAAATACTTTTTCATTGTGTTTATGCTCCATTCATCCCTATTTCACACTTACATAAAACACAAACACCACTTACCACTGTTGTTCTTTAACCTAGATCAGAGCTATAACACTATGTGTGATTATGTGAACATTATGTATGGTTATGAACACCGTGTATGATTTTTGCTCTGCATGTCACAAAGACAAGAAAAACAATATTTGCTGTATAAATACTATGTACAAAGTTATACTTTATTTTACAGTCCTTTTTCCATTATATTACAGGGAACTTACTCACATGTACATGCAAAGTATGCACCAGAAAATTACTTGTAAGTATTTTATATTTCTACCTATTAAAATCTGCAGCTGTAAAAAAGTGCAGCTGTATGTACTTGGTAGTAAAAAGAGTTTAAAATGTGCAGCTGTATGTACTTGGTAGTAAAAAGAGGTAAAAAGTGCAGTTGTATGTACTTGGTAGTAAAAAGAGGTAAAAAGTGCAGTTGTATGTACTTGGTAGTAAAAAGAGGTAAAAAGTGCAGCTGTATGTACTTGGTAGCAAAAAAAGTTTAAAAAGTGCAGCTGTATGTACTTGGTAGTAAAAAGAGTTAAAAAAGTGCCGCTGTATGTACTTGGTAGTAAAAAGAGTTAAAAAAGTGCAGCTGTATGTACTTGGTAGCAAAAAAAGTTTAAAAAGTGCAGCTGTATGTACTTGGTAGTAAAAAGAGTTTAAAAAGTGCAGCTGTATGTACGTGGTAGTAAAAAAATTTAAAAAGTGCAGCTGTATGTACTTGGTAGTAAAAAGAGTTAAAAAAGTGCCGCTGTATGTACTTGGTAGTAAAAAGAGTTTAAAAAGTGCAGCTGTATGTACGTGGTAGTAAAAAAATTTAAAAAGTGCAGTTGTATGTACTTGGTAGTAAAAAGAGTTAAAAAAGTACAGTTGTATGTACTTGGTAGTAAAAAGAGTTAAAAAAGTGCAGTTGTATGTACTTGGTAGTAAAAAGAGTTAAAAAAGTACAGTTGTATGTACTTGGTAGTAAAAAGAGTTAAAAAAGTGCAGTTGTATGTACTTGGTAGTAAAAAGAGTTAAAAAAAAGTACAGTTGTATGTACTTGGTAGTAAAAAGAGTTTAAAAAGCACAGTTGTATGTACTTGGTAGTAAAAAGAGTTAAAAAAAGTGCAGCTGTATGTACTTGGTAGTAAAAAAGTTTAAAAAGTGCAGCTGTATGTACTTGGTAGTAAAAAAAAGTTTTAAAAAGTGCAGCTGTATGTACTTGGTAGATTTTGGTAAGTACCACATATTTACCTGTTAAGTAATGGTTACTTAACATTCTATAAAATAAAGTGCTACCAAAGCCTGGCATGCTGCTTGATTGTTCTGATTTAACGTTTTTTGAGCTCAGCCGCCTGGAGCCAGGGGTGGTAACACACCTCTTAAAAAAAATAAAATAAAACAAGGCTGGCTGAGTGACAAAATGCAACTAGGCCACTACCTTTCACGCCATGCTATCAACATGCATCTTAAAAATGTGCAGTAGCAAAGTAGTAGTTAGAAACATTCAAACTGACTTTTATTAAATTCACATAGTGTAGTAACATGAACTGTGAGCCAGTGCATTATTTCGTGTATTGCAGTAAAAATATTTTTATCAGATCAGTAAGCTGCAGCTTTCACAAAGGCTTTACTGTTTGAAAAATGTCCAACCTCCCAGCTGAATCTGAGATTTTGATGAGTCTTCACAGCTTTCTGTCTGTGTCGAAAGTGGAGAGGAGATTTTTTTTTTTGTTGTTGATGTAATCATCCAGGGGCTGTATTACAGAAAGTTCCTTTCTTTTTGTCTTAACTTAAGATCCGACAAGTCAAGATAAGATTTTTCACAAATTCATATTACAGAAGCAAATCTGATCTTTTTTAGAAATGTTTTGTTATCTTACAGCAGCTTATCCCCAGTTAGGAAATTTTAACTTACTCGATCGAAGTCGACAATCAATTGCCATGTCTGTTCATTAGCAACCGATCATATGCGCACAGCTGAAACGTAAACACGTCATCAAAATAATGAAGCTACTTAGCCTGACAGCTAACTACCATTATTGATGTACATAAAAGGTCAAACAAAACGAAAGTGTGATAAACTGTAAGTTGTGAATATTGTGAGAGCGCCCCCTGCTGTTTATCAGAGCCCCCCAGTTTCAGTCTCCATTTCCCAGACGCTTTAGCCGAGCACGCTAACGTTATTCTTCCTAATAAACAGACACACGTTCAGCTCTGTCTCCTCATTATTCACCACCATCACTGTAATATTTTATCACATTAACACATGAAGGTAGTAAGAGAGATTAGAAAGTTAGAAAAGAAAAACATCTCACAGTGAAAGCAGAGTTCTACAGTATAAATAAATGTAGCGTCATTATTCTACTACTGAACTATGCTGCCTGACACAGCTGCCTAAAAGTGTTAGCAACGGACGCTTAAACAGACGTTAGGACTCTGTTGGCGTTTATCCTAAAGTAAGGACAGTATTTAGGAGATTTAGTCTAGTAAGGATGTTTGTGTAATACTGTTTTCTTATCTGGGATTAATGATAAGAACTGTTGTTCTGTAGTAGCTTCAGTCTTAAATTCAGTCCTGACTGAAGTTGTCATGGTCACTAAGCAGATAAGATAAGGTTTCAGACTGGAGAAGTTTCTGTAATGCAGCCCCTGGACTGGAAAAAGTATGTAAAAAATGTATTTTTATGTAGATGATCTGGTTCTTGAGTTTAAGGTATTTGGGATTCTGACATGAGGGTGTGGGTGATGAGTGAGGAAGATGATTACTAACTACTACTTCCAAACAGAAACAAAACAAAAAGATAATCAAAACAGCATCTGTGGTGTGTGCACTGATGTTCAATGAGAAGGCCTGACTTGCAGTTTCTCTGAAAGGTGTTCAGTGGGGTTGAGGTCAGGACTCTGTACGACGACTTCAAAGCTTCTCATTAGTTTTGCTCTGAAATGGCATTTTCCTTTAAAGCATAGTGTCAGCTTTTAGTTCAGATAAATTGTGAGTTTATTGTCCCAGATTATGTTATGTGGAGAAAGACCCTTTGCCCACCTCCCCATCTCTCTCCCATTTTCACTGCCCAGCCATTCTGTCCTAAGCAAACACATACGTGTGTGCGCGCACACACACACACACTTTCTTAAAAAAACCACATACACATTTTAGTTTTTTATGTTATGGATACCAAAATACTTGTCAGGTACATTAATGTTTGTCAAACAGGACAGATGAGCATGTTTGTGCTCTCTTTATTGGTTTTATCTTGTATTAGCAGAATTTTATCATCTCTCTCACAATCTGTTACAATTTAGTAACTTGATTGATCGACTTTCTGTAGCGGCAGACATCCATGAACATTATAGGACCGGTACAAAATGTCTCATCGCCAGCTGAAACCACTCCACGCAGAACTCCATCAGATGTGGTCAGGCTGCCACCAGAATTGCCCTGTGGGTGTGAGTGGGTGAGAGACACAGAGATATAGAAGGGAGAGTAGAGAATTAATTTTTACACTTAAGCTGTCAGTAATCTGACTAAACTACACAGTCCTTGCTGATCACAGCTCTTTCAGGTTAAAAACAAAATGCACAACAAGTACAGAAAGAGTCTTTTCAGGCTGTGAAGCTCTGTAAATTTGCACTAACTGAGACCTGGCATATACTAACATCATATAAAGTCACAAAGACACAAAGTAATGATTTGTTTATTAAAAATCCTTCAATTAATAATAGTAAAAAATAAATTCAATTCAAATTCAAAATAATAAAATCATTACAAAGGTTTGGTGAATGATGATGAGCCGCTGCATATCTCTTGCCTTATACTGTAATTATTATACTCATTTTTATACAGGACAAAGTGTAAGCTAATAATCATTTAATAAAGATTTTCATTTCATCTTTTTGGAAGTATGACATCCCCATTTCACCTGCCTTAAATCTAGTCCTGGTTTTTATACATTATATACATATATACATATACTGGATGTTAGTCTTGATTGAGTTTTCGTGCCTTTGAAATTTGTCATTTTATTTTTATTGCAATGAACAAGTAAATGTCTTCACTGCTCGTTTTAGATTTAGTAATAGTTTTCATCAACAATAAAAACCTTGGTATGGTGGTGAATTCGCAGTGTCTGGGTTGTGTTTAATCAGGGCCAAAGGATTTATTTAAAAATACAGACTCACCCCACAGCTATCAACATTCTTGTTAGGATCCTTAGCACAAAGAAGGCTACTGGAGGCTATTGAATGTAAACCGAGGTCCAGGCCATTTCTGTATCTTGACATGTCGTCACACTTTACTACCTCCAGCTCTCCACAGTGTAATTTCCCATCAGGATGTAATATTGATTTCTCTGTGGTCATTAAAGAATAAGTGAGGAATATGCCACTGTCCACAATTTAAGTAACTTTAAAGGGAGTGAACTTTGCACAACTGTTGGCAACTCAAAACAGTCAGCACAAAACATTTGCGGTTGTGTACAAAATAAAATACTTTAAATGTTTTGCAATTTTATTTATGTGAAACAGCCTGCAGACAATTATGCTTTGTAAAATGTATTGAAGTATTTTTGAAAAGCTGATTTAATGCGTTTACTCTTCATATCTGAGTAAAACTCACCTTTAACTGCTGATTGGGATGGATTTTTCACAGTAAACATGCCATAAAATTTAACCTTAGTTCTGAAATCAGGGGTTCTGCAGTCAATGTACTCAGGTAATTTGATCTGAACCTGAGTGGGCTGAGAAGTCTTTAGTTTCAGCAGAGCGATGTCATGTGCTCCATTGTAGTCTACATACAGGTGACTCTCAGTAAACTCTGTCACAGTTGAACTGGTTTTCAAAAATGCCTTCAAATTCCTAAAAAAAAAATAATAATAATAATTTTAGGACATGGTTCAAACAGACACACTGAATGTGAGCTTGGTGTGTCTATAAAAGTATTTTGGGAAAAGTGGGGAGATCAGGCTCTGCATGAATCCGAAAATATTACCACATAAATTTTTACTTTACTTTAAAGTTTTACTTTAAATATAAACATAAAGAAAATAATTGAACTCAAATGCAGAGTTCACTCAGGCTCCAAAGTCAGAATGTATATAAATAGCAATAAAGATATATAAATCATACAAGTTTAAATAAAAAATAACAAAGCTTCCAAAGTTGAAATTGCCAGAGCTGGATTTGAGTTAGAAGGACAATCAGACAGGTCAATTTTTTGACACACTATGAGCAAATGGCAGTCAATGGATGACAATCCCCTAAAAAGTAAAAAGGGAAGACACAAATTGGAATTTAAATAAAAAGAGAGGAAGAGAAAGAGAGAGAGTGTCACACCTTGCTTGCAGGTGAGGGTAGATATGCTCTGACAAGGTTGTGATTCGATGACACAATAGCACATTCAGTGTTTATTTAGTGAAATGTGTCGAAAATGTAGCAAAATGTTAAAAAAATAAACAAATAAGCAAAAAAACTATTTACAGAGTATATTTATAAATTTTGAGGAAGCAACAATTTCCTTCAAAATGTGTTGGCTCAACAATCAACCAATCATCTCTTCTCTCTCTACAGAAATGCAGTGAGCTCTTTAAATAGACATCCCACTGGTCTACCCACCCCAGCACATACCAGTCCTTCTCCTCTGCAGCGGGAAACAATAATAACCAGCAATAATAACTTATGAAATAAATACAAAATCCAAGAAAAGCTTGTTCACAATGAATTTTTGAATCATAAGCTAAAAAGCACACAGAATGAACAAGATCAAATGAAATAATAATTAAAAAAAAAAACATTTTAAACTAGGTTGTTAATGAAGACTAAAAGAATCAGAAGAATTAAGATACAGACATCTGCAGTGGCATAAAAAAATACCCACTGGAAGGAACCGGATTGTCCTTTTTCCTGCGTTTGTGTTTCACTTTTGTCTCATCTGTTCATAGGACATTTTCCCAGAAGCACTGTAAAACATCCAGGTGATCTTGGGCAAAGTTGAGATGGGCCGCCCTGATGTTTTTGGATGCAGCGGCTTCCTTTGTGGTGTCCTTCCATTCTTGTTCAGTGTCTTACTAATACTGGACTAATATTAGCTAACAGACTTTTGCTGTTACCCTTGGGTACTTCCTTATCTCTTTCAGGATTGCCCGCTGTGCTCTTGGAGAGGTCTTAACAGGACACCCTTCCTAGGGAAAGTAGCAACAGTCCTGAATTTTCTCTAGTTGTAGACAGTTTGTCTAACCATGGACATGTCTTTTGAGGTCTTCTGAGCGTTGTTTGCATCAAGGCATGGTTCACACTAACTTTTCTTGAGAAGAACAGATTTACCAGTAACGAGGCTTTGTGTGCTGCCTTTATTAAATAGGCGAAGCACCTGTGAAGCCCACATTTCCACCTCATCTCCTTAATTGAAACACCTTTTGCAAATCCGCTCTCAGAGAAGTTCACTTACTTTTTCTAGACTGCACTGTGGATATTTACTCAATGTGCTCAATAAAAGACATGAAAGTACAACTGTGTATGTCATTAGTTTAGTTAGATTGTGTTTGTCTATAATTACGACTTAGATAATCATCAGACCACATTTTAATAATAATCATTGCAGAAATGCAGGTAATTCCAAAGGGTTCATGCACTTTTTCTTGCAACTGTATCAAACAAAAAACACAGAAAACCACACGATACTCAAATTTATTCAAATTATGCTGAAACACTAAGAGAAGATAAAAAGATTTTAAGACACAAAAAACTATCATTGAGTTCAAAATCTAAACAAAATAGGAAACTCCATTGACCAAAATCAAATCTAGGAGCAGTGGAACAATCCGAGCAACAAATCTCCACAAAAATAGAAAAATGATATGAAATTACAGAGAAATTATATGATCCATTATATATTCATTACCACCGGATAGCCTCAACTTAGAACAACAGAAAATCTAAGAAAAACTGAAAACACTAGAATCCACTATCAAGATCCACTTGATTACCAAATCAAAAACTTAAACCTTGAAAAGTCTGCAGGCCTGACAGCATCAGGACAGAGATATTGAAGAGTAGCAGCCCCGAGCTGCTGCAGGCTCTGCTCACGTTGTTCAGTTTTGTTCTCCAGTCCAGCTGTTTTCCTGAGATCTGGTGCTGGCAGCTTATTTCCCCGATCTACAAGAGTGGAGACAAACTGGACCCTAATAACAACTGAGGCATCTGTGTGAGCAGTAACCTGGGGAAGGTTTTCTGCTGTTTTATCAACGCCTGAATACAGGCCTTCCCCACCAACCACAGTGCCTTGAGTAAAGGACAAATTGGCTTTCTACGAAATCATTGCACGACTGACCGTATTTACACCCTACACATCCTAATCAACCAACATATTCATCAACAAAATAAATGTTTTTACATGTTTTATAGATTTAATAAAAAAAACAATTGATTCTATTTGGCCAGAAGGTTTATATTGCAAAATATTACAAAATTCTCAAAATAATGTAGGAGGTAAAGTCTACAACATTAAATAATAAATGTGGAGGAAAGATTGGTAATAAAATGACAGATCTCTTCACTTAAGGGTGCGGGGTTAGGCGGGGTTGAAATTTGTCACCCACTCTTTAATATATACACTAATGAATTAGCTGTGTTATTGGAGCAATCTGCAATCTGGCCTGACACTAAACAAAATGAAAGCAAAATTTCTCCTCTGTGCAGATGATGTGGTGCTGCTGTCAAACACAGAAAAGAGGCTACAGCAGCATTTGGATCTGCTGGATAAGTACTGTCAGAACTGGACTCTGACAGTAAAACCAAATGAATCTAAAGTCATATCTCTGGAAAGCAGATATATGTTCAATTTAGGAAATGCCTGGGACTAAAGATTAGCACCTCAGGAGGCTTTGGACTGGCAGTGAATGCCCTGAAGGAAAAGGGCTGCAGAGGCCTCTTCTCAATCAGCTAACAATAATTCAAGATTGATATCCCAGTTAGAATCTGTGCAAAGATCTTTGACCGCACAATCCTGCCCATTGCACTGTACAGTAGTGAAGTCGGGGGCCACTCAGTCATCATGACTACACTAGATAGGACAAGCCCTGCATGCAGAATTCTGCAAAATGACTTTAAATGTCCAAAGAAAAACATCGGCAAATGCATGCAGGGCTGAATTGGGCAGATTTCCACTCATAATGAGAATTGAAAATACAACACTGAAATTTTGGATGCATCTTAAATCAAGTTCCAAAACAACACTACAATTTCAGGCACTGTGATCCAGGAGCAGAACCCTGAAAAAGGCCCCCGTGTCAGATAATAAAGAAACTGACCACCTCACTGACCCCCAGCACCCCAAACTCTCTGACCAGCACTGCTTCCCAAACACCAATTAGAGTAAACCAATTTTTAAACTAAGCAAAAACACTTACCTGGAACAACGGAAAAACCAAACTCCCAAAACAGACTGAATTGATTTCTGGTTCTAAAACAGGAAGACAAACTGGCTGAATATCTTGTTACTGTCCAAGATATGAAGCAGAGATGAATCCTTATCAAATACAGACTCACAGTCTGGTCACTGAGAATGGCAGGTTTAAAAAGTCCTGGGTGTGTGTGTGCTCACTGCAGGACAGGTGAGGTAGAGGCAGAGGAGAGAGTGTGAGGTCACTGCAGGAGAAGTGAGACAGAGGAGAGAGTGTGTGGTCACTGCAGGACAGGTGAGTTATAGACAGAGGTGCACTTCCTACTAAACTAAACAAAATATGAATTTGCCAAGAATAAATATTTGAACCAATTTGAAAAACATATAAATAGTTTCAGGACATTGGGAGATTGTGGTCAATTAATGATTATATTAGGAGGTGGTCCATCAGTGTCCACTGCACCCAGAAATGTGTATGAGCGTCATATACTCCGGGACAGTGATTGACCACCAAACCACAACCTTTTCTTGGTTTATTTATTATTGTTGACAATACAAATGAAGCAAAGCTCTGTCTAAAAGGTGAAGAAACCATAGACAGAGAAAACAGCACAGCAGCAAAACAGCATTTACAGGAAATGACACTGATGCTGCTAATCTGAATGACCAGTGAGAAATTCCTACAAGAGAATAAGCTCTTTCCAGGTCAAACAAAATCAAAAATATAGTGCCACAGAATGAGAGACGCCCACAGAATACTGTCTGTCCTCAACCTCAGCACTCCCAAATACATCATTATCCACACTGGCGTCAATCACCTCAGAACAGAGCAAGATTGAGTTGGAGGACTAGTGTGCAGAACACCTTTCTTGACGGTAAAATTATTGTCTCCACCTTCCTGCACTGCAAAGACTGGCCCTATCCTGAGGGCCAACACAGGCATCTGTAGAGGATGTGCTCTCCAGCGTAATTTACACCTGGCCCTCCACTCTACCATCACCCCCACCACCTCTATGACCATATGTGCACCTAAATAAAGATGTAGTCATATATTGAATATAGATTTTATATTAAGCCTTTATGCATTTTTATAATCTGTAACTATATAGTAAAAATAAAATGAATGTGGGTATGAAATAGTAACAACAGTATCAGTTTGTGAAGTTGTTGGTTTTGTTACACTGTGGTTCCATAGATTTAAAGTCATTTCAGTTTTTATTACATCATTATTACAGACATGTTTATTATACATACGAATCATTGTTATTTTTAAGAAATATGAGGTGTTCTTAGTTTTCCTTGTTTATCTTATTTCAAAATAAATTTTAAACAAAATTTCCTATAAACATGGCTTCACACTCAGCCAGCATTTTGAACATTTAAGGCCTGAACTCATCGACCATGGATCAAAAAATTTTCAAAACGATATCAAAGACATTCATATTCTTATAGGAGACAAGGTGTAGGACTGAGACAGCCACTCAGTGTCCCCAAGTCTACAGAGAAATCATCATACTTTAAAGATAAAATTAAAAGACTAATACCAAATAAGGCATCAGAACCCGATGGCATCCTACATAGGATGCAAATATGCACAGATGCTAAAATTTCAGTTGGCCATTGTAACGCTGATCAACTTAGTTCTGAGTGCAGGTTACTTCCCTAAAATCTGGAACCATGGACTAATAAGACCAGTCTTTATAAATGGAGATAAATTTGACTGTGACATTTGAGTGAACAGTAGTCTGGGGCAGATCCTGTGTAGTTTTCAACTTCAAATTAATCATAAAAATATAAGAAAAGGCAATCAAATTTCAGAAGCACCTAAGAAAAAGCGAGACCCACTCATATCATTAGGAAGCTCTGCAATACCAGGAACAGTCCCCTCACTCAGCTGGTCCTGAACTATGCACTAACATTCACTAACACGCACTAATACTCAACAGATTCAGGACAAGAAAAACACAACCAATCTGATAAGAATGCACCACATTACAGCATATCTGAGAGAAACAAACACACACTATTGGCAAATTTAAACAAATCCACAAAGTAAAATTCGTCGTTCTGAGAGAGGAAAGGCTGAACTTTAGTGATATTTCTCACATGATAAAAAGCTACGTTAGTGTGTTTACATGCAGATTAAACAGAGCTCAAAGACAGAGTCTAAGATCACACCCAGGTTCCCTACTGCAGCTTTGAAGCTAAAGAGCCAAGATTCTTTAAAGCAGGTTTCTCTGAGTTTTAGTACCAACAATCAGTATTTCAGTTTAGTATTTAGTTGTAGAAAATTTTGTGACATCCACTGAGAAATATGACACACAGCTGTCAGCCTGTGTGCAGTCTTGATTTTCAGAAGGAAGTGAAATGTATAATTTTGTGTCATCAGCATAGCTATGAAAATTAATATCATGTTTCCTAATGACATCACCTAGAGGTAACATGTACAAAGAGAAAAGCAAGGACCCTAAAACTGAACCTTGTGGGACTCCATAAGAAATGTAAAATTTTTTGATGAAACGTCTCCAAACACACTTCTATCAAAAATATACAAAATAGTTTCTGAATCAGATGCAAAACTAACTTTACAGACTATACAATGGAAAGAAGATCTATTCATCCCTCCCAGTGCCAGTTTCTGGTAATATGCAAAAATAATATATATGTGATTACAAGTACTAATCTACAGCTAATACAATATGAAATCATCCACATAGTGGATTCAGTCTCTTGTCATCTTAAGGCTTGGCTACTGCAACTCGCTCTTGAATGGTCGTCCTATGCAGGCCATCAAGCCCCTGCAACTCATCCAGAATGCAGCACAGCTTGTCTTCAAGTTCAGTTACGTCACTCCACTGCTGTGCTCCCTTTACTAGCTTCCTGTAGCTGCACACATCAGATTTAAAACCCTGATATTTGCCTACAAAGACAAAAACAGACCGGCTCCTCCCAACTTAATGGCAATGGTCAAAACTTCAATTGGAGCTCAAGCCCTTTGAGGCTACAGCTCGGCTTGACCCCCCATCCTTCAAAATGCATGGAAGACAAGCATCAAGACTTTTCTCTGTCCTGGCACCCAGGTGGTGGAACGAACTCCCACTGACTGTCCGAACAGCAGAGTCTCTTGCGGTCTTCAAACGCAGACTTTTTTACAGCACTTGAGTCAGAACTGAGTTTAGTGTGTATTGTGCTGTGTTTAATTCTGTTTCTTTTCTCTAGGTATCAATATGGGCTTTTGTTTCTGGCAGTATCTGCGCTCAGGACTGGCTTTCTCTCTAACCTATTTGTAACTAGCAAAGATACCTTCTCTAGGTAGACGACAAAGATCTTTTTGTAAGTTGCTCTGGATAAGAGCATCTGCTAAATGCTGCAAATGTAAATGTTTGGTCATGCTTATGTCCTCAATCATGAATGTATTACAAATAAAAATGAAGTTTTAAAAGTTTTAATGATTTCACAGTGAAACTAAGATCTGCCTGTTCATTAAATATGATTTAAACTATTTTAAACAATGTGCCTGAGAGGCCTACCCAGCATTTAAGACGGTGGATTAGAATCTTGTGATCAACGATATCAAAAGCTGCACTAAGGTCTAATAAGACGAAAACAGAAGGATTTTGTGCATCAGCGCTAAGCCTGAGGTCATTTGCGCAAGAAAACCAGGACTCAGATGTTTCATTCAGTCTTTTTGCCACAGATGTATAAAATCAAACACTTAGTCATGCAGTCACAACCATTAGTGAAAGAAGGGGTCATTTTAAAGAGCTCACTGAATTTGAGTGTGGTACCTTAGTGGGATACTGTTGCAACAAGTCAGTTTGTGAAATTTCTTCCCTCCTAGATATTCCACGATCAATTGTGAGTGGTGTTATTAAGGTAGAAATGTTTAGGAACCACATTGCCCTGCGATGGACTGGCGACCTGTCCAGGGTGTATCCTGCCTTCCGCCCAATGACAGCTGGGATAGGCTCCAGCACCCCACCGTGACCCAGTAGGATAAGCGGTTTAGATGATGTGTGTGTTATTAAGGTAGAAATGTTTAGGAACCACAGCAACTGAGACACAAAGTGTCAAACCAGGTAAAGTTACAGAGCGGGTTGCCGAGTGCTGAGGAGCATAGTGCATAAAAGTCACCAACGCTCTGCTGACTCAATAACTGCAGAGTTCAAACCTCCTTTGACTTCAACATCAGCACAAAAACTGCACTGGGATCTTCCATGGCTGCGCAGCTGCATGCAAGCTATACATCACCAAGCACAATGCTAAGCGTCGGATTGAGTGGTGTAAAGCACGCAGCCACTAGACTCTGGAGCAGTGGAAACGTATTCTGTGGAGTGACGCAACCCAAATGTTAAGAAGAGTCATTGTGTCCTTTCAACAAAAATAAATTCACCTTGCTAGCTACAGCATTTTTATATACATTTTATTGAAGTAACATTTTACTATCTTGGCTGCAAATATGTATCAGTATGTGCTAATGTACTAGTATAGGCTAAAAAATATAAACAAAAATATAGACTTGCTTTGCTCCGCTTTAAGCTTTAGCTGATCTATAGCTGCTTTTCTCACATCTCCGGCAGGAATCTTTTCTGCAAAAGTGAACAGTTTCTTGTAAAACGTCACTCAGCGTTCAAGTTTTCATGAGGCTAAGGTCAGCTTCTCATTCTCCAGCTTCTTGCTCGAATTTTCCTCCTCCACCTTAAATGGTGCCTGAGGCGCAAGAATGTAACCGCTGCACGATTTAAGGTGGAAGGGTTAAATTCGAACAAGAAGCTGGTGACTAAGAAGCTGACTTCAGCTTCATGACTTTATAGCAGTTGACAGTTTCTCATTGCAGATTAAACATATTGGAAAACCAGCAAGAGTGCTTTTAAATGCAAAGTCCATTTGTCTCCAAATTGTCAATGTTTGTCTTAAATCTTTCTCTTATTTGCCTTTTTTGTTAGCTTGTTAGTGTTTAAGAGCATTAATTGTTGGAACTGTATGTTAGAAGGCACAGCAAAGCTTTTTGTTACTGCAAACGATGATTATTTTATTTTTACCTAAAAATCTAATTCTGCTTTAGAGCTGCAACAGGGCAGTAAAAGGGCCACATGTGGCTCTGGATGTGGAAGAACTTGACTGACGCTCACAGAGCACTGACCTAAACCCCATCGATGAATGGGATGAATTAGAATAGAGCTCTTCTGGATAAATGGGTAAAAATTCTCACGGACACACTCCAAAATCTTGTAGAAAGCTTCCCAGAAGAGTAGAAGCTGTTATAGCTGCAAAGGGGGACCAACTCCGTATTAATGCCTACGGATTTAGAATGGGATTCATAAAAAGCTCCAAATACTTTTGTCCATATAGTGTAATTTGTAGCCCTTGGGTGGTCAGTGTGGAATGAAAACTTTTGCTTCCCACTAAAACCAAGCTTAAATTCAACAACCCAGAATTGAACCCCTAGGATCAAGAATTTATTGTGAGTTCATTATAAGAGACAGCACTACTTTCATACTTACGACATAATACAGTGAGCAGCAGTCAGAACCCACTGATCACTAATGAGAGACCCTCCACAGATAGGACGGAAAGAATTTTGGTTGTCTTGAAGACCCAGGATCACGTGGTGGGGGCCTTCATTTTTCCCACAGGTCCATCCATTGATGACTCTTTTCTGAACTTCAGCCACTGTGACACCTAGCAGTGAAGAGAAACAATGTGCTGCAAATTTACAAAGATCTCTGATTAGTTTAATTAACTGTGTTTAAATTGAACAGGTTTAACAAACAAGAACAGGAGTAACAAAAAATAACAACAATAATAAAGAAAACATAACACAGCACTTTCATAGTTACAAAGTTGTCCATAGCAGGGCAGTTATTATGGTCACATTTGGCTATTTCTAACGTCAGAAGTTGTGGACTTTCCACTTTTATCCACTAGCCCATCTTCTTCAAACTCACACAATAGAAACTGCAGCGGTTAGGGATATGTGATGCCCCAAATTTCTTTTTGATCTGATACCACAGTGCAGACTGAAATATAATGCGAAGGCTAATATCCCAATATCAGCACCAATACTGATACTTTTATCTGTCTTACTGTCATGCAATTTTAAGGTTTGAGTGAAAACTAGCTTTCTGCCAGGCATACACATTATGTGCATTCTTATTGGATAGGCCAGATGACGCCAGGAAGTAAACAAACGGAGAGTGAAGCTAGTTAGAGTGTAGAGCTAAGTTAGTGCCTCTGCTAACGGCGTCTGTTTGCAACTTGAATAAAAAGTGAAACAAGACGACATTGACTCATCACACATCTAATAAGTTTAATAAGTCTATTATTGAAGTATTATGCTATTCATTCACACAACAAGCCAATCATATGCAACGCTGCCGGTAAATAGGGGCTGGAGAGGGTGCTGTATTCCCTAATTTTTGCTAATTATGAGCTCTGTATTTTTTGTTTCCTTAATGTTCTTTGTGCTATTTTCTCTCAACCAGTCACAGCTAAATTTTTCTCTTTATTTTCTGATTGGCTCCCTGACACATATTAACCTGGCCCACAGCAATGAACAGCATAAAGGACGAGAACTCAGTAAGACAATGGAGAGTTAAAAAGCTTCAGTACAGTTTTGTATAAATACTGTACTATCAATCTGCTTTATTAGCAGCTAGTGTCAAAATGTCACGACTTCCCTCGGCTCTGAACTCTCTTTGGACTCAATCTCCCAGAATCCCCTGGGAGATCACGTGACTCCAGCCTCACTCTCACGCTCCAGTTTCCCAGAGTACTAATCAGTAACACCTGTTCTTCCTTGATTAGTTTAGTTTAAAGTCCGGGCTTGTAGATAGATTCGTTGCGAGGTTTTGCTTCTTTTCATAGAACTACTGAGTGTTATTTCTGACTGTTTATTCCTGTTCTGACCCATTTTGCCTTGTTTTTGACCTGCCTGATCCCTTTTGGACTCTTTTGCCTGGTTATGTTTGTGTTTTTGTCTATATTGTCTTTTCTGGATTTGACCATTGCCTGTGACCTGACTACGATTGTGGATTCTGTTTATACTAGTAAAGCCTCTCATTCACCTTTTATCTGCATCATTCTGTCGCGTTACACAAAATAGCTAATCAGGAGCTATTTAGCAAAATTCCAATATCTCAGCTTGCTCTGTCATCTTCCATTCTTTCAGTATATTCAGTATAATGTCTACATTTTTGTAATTCCTTAATTAATAACCATATCAGTTAGAAAACTGCTTTAAAAATTCTCAAAGCTTATATTAGCCTCCTCTGTTGTTAGCTCCCCCTCATTATGTCCAACGTCTGTACTGCTAGCAGCACTGTTGGCTGTTTTTGGCCCTGAACAAGATGACAAATATTGACTTATCACCAAAGTCAGTTTTTCAAAGCCATCAGTCATCGTTTCTGCAGCTTTCAGGGTGCAGCTTAGAAATTCAAATACTGATCAAGACAATGTTGAAATAAACCAAACAACTTTATTTAAGCTGAATAGCCTAATGTGCAGTTGGCTAGCTAGCCAACAGCTACCATATATGTAGAAAATGTATCCTCCAATGTGGCCACTTTTTCACAGGCCTCCTCAAAAGTTGTTTCTGTCTGAGCCACTGGGCTAGAGTATAAAATGGCTTTTGGTTGTAATCTGTAAAATAAATTGTGTATATTTTTCTGCCTCATTAGACACACTGGGGAATATGACCCAGTGATACCTTTGGTGCAAATGAAGTACAAAGCTGTTATTGTCCATGGCAAATTATCAATGTTGGTTGCTGCTGTTTTGCATGTTTTTAAAGTTTGCTTAGTTTTCAGGGGGTTCTTTGGATAGTTCACTATTTAAATCTGCGTTAAATCTGTGTTATATGTACCCACAAAAATATGCCACCTTGCCAAAACTACCTGCCACCCCTTTGCCTCCTCTGGTAAATGTTCTAGATCCACTGCTGCTTATTGTTGATATTTAATGTAAGGAACTGTTCTTAAAATAAAATATCACACTCAGAAGTATTGATACTTCAGCTTCAGTTGACTCAAACTAAGCAGCTTAACAAACTGGGAATACAGTTCCGAGGCTGAGTCTAGTGATACATTTGGTAGAGGTGAATATGTGATTGTTAAAACAATTGTAACTGAAGTTGTTGGAAGTGATAGAACAGAGAAAAAGACTCACACACACACTGAGCTTTATGTATGGAAAATACAGTATTTGAGGTCATTTATGAACGCAAAATGTACTGAATTTACCCCAGTACATTTAAGCAGCTTTGCTGAGACAAACATTTTGTAATGTGAAGCAGTGCTAGAGCTGTTACAGATGTCCTAACAGGCCTGTCACAGTTAGTACGTTATCACCTGAACACAGTTATTTTGAGCTGACCGCAGTTATTTTCCCACAGTGGTTACCTTTCACAATCGTATATTTACCTCACAACAAACAGAAGGGAATAGAATGCATCTACATCTGGTGGTGAGTAATATTGGTTTATTTGAGCTTAACCTGTATCAGTTGTTAGTTAACAGCTACTAAGTATTGACAGCTAGTAAGCCAATTACATAATCTGCCAAGTCAGCCTCTTTACATCTGGACCTTAGCGGTGGCTTACAAAGAACAAAAAATGGCAATGAAGTTTTTCGTATTTATATATCTTCAGCTAAAGTTTGATGATCATGACAGGCCTATGAAAAAAGTCTGAATTTTAAGACCTTCTTGAAATCTTGAAATGTTTAAATACGCAAATGTTTCTCAGAACGTCTAATAGTGTGCTTTATCAAAGTTACTGTACAGCAAGATGTCGTGACATTTGTTTTGCAGGCTGCACAGTTGATAAAGATTATCTGACATGACCGGTCCTCTTTATTATGAGCAATGGGATGAATTCATTGTGTGATTATTATAAATGGTAGACTTGTAGTTTAATGGGATTATTGTTTTACTTTGAAATGTGGAGAAAAAAACGTGATAATCTCTCATTCAGTCTTGTTTCCTCCACTGAATAAACACCTGTAACATTAACCCTTAAAATATAGGCAAAATGCTAAAGTGTTTGTTTTTAAGTGATACAAATAACGTAAAAGCAAAGTGTTCAAAACACCAGCAGCCAAATTCATTAAACACACAGCCAGATTTACCATGACGTTAAGACCAATTTCACAGTAACACATTCTCTTATTCATAAACAAGGAGTACCGGTGTGTTTTACTGTGTGGTACACACTTAAAAAAGATGATTCTTCAAGGGTTCTTTAGTAAAGGGAGTAGTTCTATTTAGATCATGAGTTCTATATAAATCCTTTTGTATGCTTAACTGGATTTTTTGCATGGTGAAATGGTTCTTCAGAATGTGTTGCATATGGTTCTATATAGAGCCTTTTTGAAAATGCCTCTTCATGGCACCAAAAAGGGCTCTGCTATTGCTACAAGCTTGACATTGTCACAATAGCCGAACCCTTTTTGGTGCTATATGGCACCATTTCCAAAAAGGTTCTACATAGAACCATATACAACACATTCAAAAACAATACATTCTCCATCAGTCTGAAGAACCATTTCACCATGCAGAGAACCCTTTAAACATGCAAATGGTTCTATGAAACACATGGTTCTAAATAAAATCATCTTATTTAAGTACGCATATGCCCTTTTCTGATGTGCCATTAGCAATTCAAAAACACTGCATGAACTAGTCTGACAGTAAATTTCCTGGTGAGGAACTAATATGGATTTAATGATCTTTTCTATAATGTCTTCAGACACGTTTGGTCACATGTGAATGGCTTTTACCAAGGCCAAAAATACTGCTGTGGTAAAAACACAGCGGTGACATGATGACTTTCTGAATAGGACTTCATTACCACGTTGAACATTTTGCATGGCGTAGACCTGTTACCACTGAGTTTTGTGGATCTGGTCTATTTTGTTCCTGACTTATGTGAATACTACACTTTCCTGCTTATATTACATTTTATAATGTACAGTTACAGTAAATACTTAATGTTGCACTCAAAACCGTCTCTTAGAAATAAAGTAATACAAGAGGTCAAAAGACAATTATCATAATTAGAAAAAAGTGTAACTCACCTGTCAGCATTAGGAGAAGAAGGCCCGAAAGACCTGAACAGCTCATCATGATCCTCCGTCAGAGACAACCAGTCTGATACTGAGACGCTACGGTGATGGCAAGCAGCTTCATTTTTAAACTCACTTTATTAGTGCCTCCATCGCTTATGCAAAAACCTGCACTTGAGCTGTTGCTCATAATGAGAGCTTCTTAACTGAAGTTCTAAAACGCAGCACATTAGAAGCACACTAGAAATACAAGAAAAGTCAACAGTTCCTGCACATCGGTAAACCGCATCATTTAACCGCATCATGTCACCAGGGCAATAAAGTTGCAGACTCTGTCAGCTGCGAGCAGATACAGTACGCTAACATCTTGTAGTTCATTAACTACATTTACATACATTTACACAGGGACATGCCCACTGAGGCTAAGCTCTCATTTACTTTACTCTACCTCTAGGGCCCTACTTACCCTTACATTTACCTGTAATGAAAGGAAAAGGATGGAGGGAATACATAAACCAAAAGTAGGGTAACTTGGGAGAAGAAGCCCCCCAGGGTGAGATGTCCCCACCCACTTTAATGGGGCCAAATCTAATTTCGACACATTTATTTAACTGATTATGAAATTTCATCTGGGTCACCACATTTCTGTGATTTATCCCCCCAGCAAAGTTTTGAGTTCAGTTGATCTATTTTTTTTTAATTATAGAATAATAATAATAATAAATAAATCTCAATCATTAGTGTCTAATCTTTCATCAATGAATGATAAAGCTGTCAGTACGTGTTCCATTCTTCAAAGTTATCCATCTTTGAATAACACACACATGAAAACAGAGGTTGATTCATTGCTGGGTTGAAATTCTACGTCAGCAGCAGGAAATGACTCTTGAAACTTTTTCCAAAGCCAGGACTCAACACAGGACTTATTGGCTACTACATGGACTTTGTAACACCATTGAAAATTATCATTACTGTAAAACACATCCAATTAGCCCTTGTTTTGCACAGTTATAAGTGTACTTTGAAATACTGAAAGGGTTGTAATACGGCTGTATATGGACTGTTTTGGGAGAGGGGATGTTACTGATGTTTGATACCATTATGATTTATTTGTGAAATTCAGTAAAAACAGTCACAAAAGGTGGCATCCACCTTGGTTTATTTTCTGAAAATGCGCTTCCGTACGAGGTAACCATTACAAGTTGAAACATGAGTGCTGGTGAATCTGTATATAAGTCTGGATGTGAGTTAGTATAGACCCAATTCCAAAAAAGCTGGGAGAGTAGGTAAAACGCAAGTAAAAACAGAAAACAGTGATTTATAAATCTACTGAGACCTGCATTTAAATGAAAAAAATTCAAAAGATATTTCATGTTTTATCTTCTCAACTTCATTGTCTTTTTTTAATTTGAAACCATTCTGAGATTGATGCTTGCAGAACATTCCAAAAAAGTTGTGACGGGCAATTTAGGACTAGAAACATTGTAAATTGTTCAAAAAATTAACAATTGTGCTTGGGCAAAAGAAGTATCCAAGAATAGCCAAGTCCTTAATGAGTGAGGATGAGTCGAGACTCGCAAAAATGCTTTAGGAAAAATTCCAACAGTTTAACAATGTCATTCCTCGGCCTGAGATTACAAGGGTGTTACGAACTTCACCATCTACAGTGCAGAACATTAACAAATGTTTCAGGAAATCTGGAGAAATCTCTGTCAATAAAGGGCATAGATGACAAAAACATTTGATCCCTCAGATGGCAGGACATTAATAGCCAGCATGTTTCTGTGATGGATATCACCACATGGGCTTGGAAATACTTGGAAAAAACAATGTCAATAAACACATTTCATCACTGCATCCACAAATGCAGGTCAAAACTGTACCATACACAGTGGAGCAGGGAACTGTACTATGCCCTTAAGTACTGTAAATGAATATACTGATATTGTAAAGTGTTAACACTACATTTAATTATATACTTTGATTAATGACGTTTTTTGACAAATGATTTGACCTTAATTATACGTTCTGTTTATAAGCACTAATGCAAGATTCATCTAGGGGGGCTTCGTACCTCTGGTAGTGTATATGCCTGTATTTGCCTTTATGCTCCCCAGGTTTCAAAGTTGTATGCTAACTGTGTGCACGTCCTGTTCATGCAAAACTCATGCACTGATGTGGTTTAACTTTACTGTAAGTGGGCATTGTTCTTGGGAGGGTTTCAAGACAAGTGTTTTAAAACAGGTGTGTTCCTAAGTTACCTTATTCAGCACTGTACCTTTATGCTTTTGGTCATATATAAATCTCTCTTGCATTGTAACTAAAATGTGCTGTTGTACATTTGTAAAGGATTTTTCAAAAGGAAATAAGGAGGAGAGCTGATCTTTATGGTCATGATTATGGTCTTCTGTAATCTTTAACTCTCCTGAGCTTATCAGTGTCTCCAACATTCATGCAAAGCCCAATTCAGCAGTAATGAGAGCTTCTTCCCTGCTGTGTCTGATAAAGTACACAGCAGAAGTGTGTAGTTACTGATTATCAAGCAACCACATACTTTAAATACCACCTAGTGTGTAACTAACACTAAAACGTGGACTATGTTTGGAAGTCAGCAGATTCAGTGGTATTACATCAATGTTGTTTCATTCATTCATTCGTTCGTTCATGTATGTATGTATGTATGTATGTATGTATGTATGTATGTATGTATACAGGGAACAAGGCCACTGAGAGGCAATGCCAACTATCTAACTGACATAAAAGAAAAAGGACAACATGGATATAAACCATAGTAGTGTGTGTGTGTGTGTGTGTGTGTGTGTGTGAGTGAAAGAGTGAGAGAGAGAGAGAGAGAGAGAGAGGGAGAGAGAGTAACGGCAGGAGGAATAGAGAACTGAAGAAAGATGTATGCTGTGTAAGGAAGTTGAGAGACTGCTGTATGGATGCTGTATGGAAAACAAATAATGCCCTGCTTTTAATGTAAGCAAAAAGAGTGTTCATGGAAAGGACATACTGTCATGTTGTACAGGACAGTCATGTAGTTAATATTTAACCCTTTAAATGGTCAGGGCCCACCAGGGGGGCCCCAAGTTTTGTCACACACTTCTATAGCCTCAGCTCAGCTAGTTTGCATGAAAGACCCTGAAGTTACCAAATAACAAGACCTGGTGTGTAATAAACCTAGAATTTTAAGGGGTTAAATAAAGACACCAAAGAAAATCTAGTTTCCATTTCTAAAGGCTAAAGCTAAAGTGTTAGACTCTAGCAAGACGTGGCCCAATCAGACGTCTTACGGAGAATCACTTTTTATTATTTTACAGATTATTTTATTGAAACTTACAATTACAAAATCTTAAGATTGGTTAGCTAAATACAGCAGCTTATCTGTTGACAGGTAGCTTGAAATTTTGATTAACAGCAAGACTGATATTGGCTTCTTATTGACCAGCTTCTTGTTTGAATTTTTTTTGTTCCACCTTAAACGGTGCAGCATCGACTACAGCAGGGCTTCTCAACCTTTTCTACCTCAAGGTCCAACTTTTTATCACTAGAAAGCATGAAGGCCCACAAGAAACCAAAACTCAATGTTTTATGCTTCAAAATGTCATTTTCGGGAAATTTTTCAACATGGTGATATGTGGGTGGGGGGGGGTCTACACTTGCAATGTGATGAGTATCACTGAAACAGGAAATATCAGCAGAATATTGGTGCGAGTGGACAAGGGGACCAAGGAGTGCTTTGCAGCCCAGTTGTGGTCCTTGGCCCAGTGGTTGAGAAACCCTGAACTACAGGATTATTAACAAGATTATTATACATGAGCAAGTTTATTGAGATATTCTTGTACTTTCAGAAGTACATCTCTTTCAGAAGAGATGAAATAAGAATTTTCCTGATTGCCCTTTCATTTAAAGAATGAAGTATCTATGCCTTTAACCCTTGCGGATACAATAATATGAGACTGACAATAATAAAGGGTATAAGTGAAATAAAAGCCTTTGTTTTAGAGTTAGTTAAGTGATTTCTATTGTGATGACTTGGCTGTAGACACAAGTGAGACTGCAGTTTGTGTATGCTGGAGCGCTGGTGCTCTGCCTTGACCAACCTCTCCACCATCGTGCAACATCCAGCCACAACAGCCTCACCGTCAAGCCTCATTGTGCTGGTTCTGGCCTCCAGTCTTGCATTGCTGGCATTGCCATCAGGCTTCCTCTCACTGGTTGCCATCCAATCGTCTTTTGGCGGCAGGGTTCTCTCGGCCCGCCACCATCCTCCGGCGCTCTACTGGCAATTCTAGTTGTGATGTCTCGATAGCCGCCCATCTTCACTACACGGCTCCTACTTGCAGTTCCCGGCTGTGCTTGGTCCTCTGCGCCATTTTGCTGCTGAGTTTTAAAGCAGTAATGTTGCTGTGAGTGGTGATGCCTGAAAAATGGCAGTTCTCAGGAAATGTAGTAATAATCTATACACAGAAAGTATCCACTGTGATAGAATGGATCCATTCTGATTTTTGAGCATTTCAGTAGATGTGGTAGTGAGGGTTCTTTTGGATTGCTCTTTTTGTTCCTTTTGCATCGTAACACAGTTCTTGATCTCAGCTGACATGCCCGGGCAATATAAAATATCTCTTGCCCTTTCTTTGCATTTGACAATGGCCAGCATTTGCATTTGAGATATGGGCAGCCGAGGTGTGACTCAGGTGACTTCTAGCTTTTCACCATATAGGTCTTCAGTCTGTTCACTGAGTATGCATGGCCCAGTGCATTGAAGTGCATTTCTTTGCCTGGCTTATACTTAACTTTAGGATTGTTCCTTTAACCCTGAGGTGCACACTCTCAAGTGGCTTGTGGTCACTACTTTTAATTCATTTTAATTCATTTCTCTACCATAAACACACTGATGGAACTTTCCTCAGCTATTCATGCCTCGCGGTCACATTGTTTTGTCATGACTGCCACCATGTTTAGTACCTTGCTTAACAATAACAATGACAACTTCACACTTGAATTCCACAGAACGTAACAGCTTAAATAACTCCTATAAACTCAACAAAACAGCTTAAATAACTCCTATAAACTCAACAAAACGGT